TGTATCTTCTTTTTCTTACACTGAAAAACCTTAATTCTTAATAACTTAGCATTTCTTTTTGCCCTTGCAATATACCTCTCTGTGGATATACAACTAGAATACTGTTTTTAAAAATCACTTGAAATAATTATTTGCTCTATATAATTATGTAGCCAGTTAGCTAGCAGTTGAGTTCATTTAATTGTTCTGTTTATCACTTTACTTTAAATTTTCATGTTGCTTTTTTAGATTTTAATTTTTGAGTATTTTAGACAAGTTAGAAGTCGAAACTATACCAAAAAGCATACTTGGAGAGGAACAAGTGCGATCTCTTCTTTCCACTCCCATCCTCCATTCTATTCAGGTAAGCTAAACTAAATTTTTAATTTACTATGCCAATGTTTGTTTTTGAAAAACATAGCAAATAAATATGTATTATATGTTCAGTCCATTGTTTTCATAACTAACAATATATCTGGGAGATCAAGGCAAATGAAGATGTTATTTCTAATGGCTGCATAGAACAGCTCTATAAGGATGTATTGGATTCAACCACATTTGGAAGGGCCTGCATGCACCATATTCAATTCGATCCTGTTAGACCATCAGTTAGCTTCTCTCCCACAGCTGCTGTATTCATTTTCTAAGGCTGCTGCAATACATTGCTACAAACTAGGTAACTCTGAGAAAATTTTCTCACAGTTTTGAGACTTAGAATTCTGAACTCAAAGCATAGGCAGGTTTAGGCTCCTGCCAGAAGACCACAAGAATAATCTTACCTCACCTGTGCCAATTTGGGGTGGTATTAGGGAGCCTCTTGGATTTTAAATAAATGGCCTCAACCTGTGCCTTCGTCTCACATGGCTTTCTCTTCTGTTTGTGGGGCTTCTTCTCTTCCATCTCATATAAGGACACTTATTAGACTGAGGGCCCAGTAGTTAATCCAGATGATTTTACCTTTTAATTCTTAACTTTATAATATCTGTAAAATCCTTTTGGAAAATGTCATTATCACAGATTCTGGGGATTAGGATATAGACATATCTTTTTTGAGGGGACAAAACATGTTCAAATGACTATTTTGGCTATTATAACTAGCACAAGGAGGAGTGACCTTTTATATGTGGAGGTATATCTTCAGGGTGAATTCTTAGGAACAGCATTTCTTGGTCAAAAGGAAAGATAATTTTACCAAAGTAAGATAATTTTACCAAATTCCTCTTCATAGGAATCAAACCAGTTTACATTTCTATTAGTTATATTTTTCTGTAAGTTTGCTACCAGAAAGTGTTATCAAACCTTGGGGAATTTGTTTTATACTAATCCAAAGGGCAATTTGGGTTTGTCTTTATTTACATTGCAAGCTTTTAATTTTTTGATTAATTAATTAATTAATTTAAGTAGGACATTTAGTCAATGACACTTGCACTCTAAGCCACCAAGTATAAATAACAAAGCAGATGATATCCTCAGGAGGTCACAGTCTAGCAGGATTGATTTTTGAAAAGAAGAAAAAATGTGCGGTATTTTATTTGTTTACTTCACATATAATATACATGAGTGGAAAAGTATTAAACAATCACTCATATTTTTTGTTTTTTTTTAGAGAAGATTTGAAGCCCTACATTTTTATTGGTAAGTAAGGTGGATTTGTGGCCTTGATCAAGCTGACTGGTAGGGAAATTTTGACATTATCATGAGCATGGGGCTTCCATTGCCATGTCTGAGATTGGTCCATATTATTGGGTTTTTTAGTAATTCATCTCAGAGATTGATTCATATTATTGGGGTTCATCCCTTTTATTGCGGAGTAATACTGTTTGTATGAATATATCCCAGTTCTAGCTGTGCTGTTTTGCCAACCGTAATCTAAAGACTCTAACTACTGTAATTTTTTTTTCTTTTTGCATGCCAGGCTGAAATATAAAAACCCATTTTAGCTTTTTATTTCATTTTATTTTAACAAACTTTTATTGAGTGCTTGTAGAGGCCGAATACTATGCTCAATGAAAGAGGATATAAATCTATATCTTAGCTGTCTTCCTAAGTTACAGTTCAGTTGAATGAGAAAAGGACAGCTGTTTTGTTTCAATGTGGAGGAAACCATATGATTTTAAACAGCTAGCTTAAGAACTTGCTAAAATGTCAAAATTTGGAGTACCAAAGCATCCAGAGGCCAGTAAGGAACTCTCATACCACAAGAAAGACTGGGAGGCAAGAACCAAGTATACTGGCTGGACTCCTCACCCAGAGCCTAGACATGTCCTTTCCAACTGCCAAAATGGTTCATTTTAGTAGGAAACGGGAACTCGATTTTTATATGGACTCCTATTTGCTACCCAGTGTGAGTCAGGACGCCTAAAATAAAAATACTTGAATTTTACAACCCCGAAACATTTCTTACTTTTGTGCTTCACGTTGCACTATAGGGATGTAGGTTGGACGCCTACAGAGGGGAGTGAAGTCTTGCAGTGTTGCAGGACAGAGGTTGAGAGACTGCACAACTGCTCAGCAACTTGGGAACCAGGAGAAGTCCCAGGGCCTAGGCTACAGGAGGACTACATTTCCCAAGACCCCTTGCGGCTCGCGGCGGTGGAGGGAGCGTGAGTGCTCGGAGGCTGCTCATTAATTTCCTTGCTGCCAAAAGCTCGCTTGCCTGATTGGAGAATCTTATCGCGATGCATCCCGGGTCTTGTAGTACAGCGTGTGGCTTGGGCCAGGTTCTTTGTGATTCGAGGAGCCGGCTCAGCGCCCCAGGCGCGCCTCCGCGAGGAGGGTTTGGACCGCGCGCGCGTGCGTCGCGCCCTAGGGGCTGTCCGGTGCCTAAAGTGGGGCGGGGCGGTTGGTTCCGCGTCGACACCGCCTTCCTGCCCCGCCCCTTGCCGTGCCGGGCCGCCCCTCCTTCCTGGAGCCAGAGCTGAGACAGCGGCCACAGCGGCGGCTGCAGGGTGGGGGGCGGCGAGTGGCCCGCGCGACACGCGCTGACCCAGACCCTATGCGGTGACTCGCGCGGCCTCTTGCCCCGCCGGCGGGGCTTGGGCTTCCCGCGGCGGGATGTTTTCCCGAAGGAGCCACGGGGATGTGAAGAAGTCCACCCAGAAGGTGCTGGACCCCAAGAAGGACGTGCTGACCCGCCTGAAGCACCTGAGGGCGCTGCTGGGTGAGGCGCCCCTCGGGATTCGGAGTCGGGGCGCTGGCGTTCGGGACACCTGCCAGCGCGGGCCGGGGGCTGGGAAGCCGAGGGCGTGGCGGGGGTGGGGTGGGGTGCGTCCGACCCTCGGCTCCTGGTCCGGCCTTGTTCCCCGGAAAGCGGGCAACCTGGCCCTTGATCACTGCCATGTCGCCCTCAGTGTAAACTTACTCCAGATAATCACCCGGTAACCTCGAGACTGGGCACAACCCTGACTCTCTCCTCCCCAGCAATAAGTGGATCGTAAGTGGTCAGCGCATATATACATCTGAACTGTCATCTCCCCTCCCATTTTTCATTTCTAGTGTTTGAGTCTGAGACCCTAAGTGGTCCCAGCAGACTTAATTGAATCGTCTTCTCTTTCGCTCCCTCCCCCACACGCCGCGCTTTTACATTTTTATTTTTACTTTTGAGTAAGTCCCCAAATAGAATGAGACTCCTAGTGGTCTCATGATAAATGCAACTGTCATCTCTCTTCCCTACCCATCTTTTAAAATTCGTCGTTATTTTGGGGTTGGTTGCTCCGGTTTCTTTGTGTCCTTGGGGTGTAGGGGGCTCCTAGTGTCTGCACGGAGGGAGGGGTAGTTTATTGGGTTCAAAGACACAGCTGCCTCTTTATTGCCAAATTGACAATGACGATTATTTGCCTTCTTCCGTTTTTTATGACTACTGGGGGAGGTTCTTTGGAGCCCAGGTGGACCTGCAGTTGACCTGCGATGAAGTTCACTTTTTGGGTATGAAATGAGGCTTCCTGTCACCTGCTGCATGTGATTTGTAGCTTGTTTGCTGGACTGTTTTGCTTTCTATTGTGTTGCCCTCCCCCCCCTTCTTAACTTTTGTTTAGGACAAAATTACCTTTGTACTCTGGAGACTACTAGTCTTTTGAGTATTTGGAAGCAGAGAAAAGGACAGCTTGTATTTTTTATAAATGTCTTTTTTATTCTTAAAACGAGAGAAAGTCTGATTTTGGGCATATAGTCTTACTGTGTCTATCATTTGAGGAAATAATGCACAGATTTCATTTTATATGTGAGTATCTTAGATCAAATCTTGTTTCTGAGATTAAAAGTTGCTAATTATTGGTACTTACACTCTTGAAGTACCTCTCTGAGGAGGGGAAAGCAAAAACAAGCAACAGCACACCTCGTTTGGCTAAGTGCAGTTATTTACAGTCTCAAAATCCTTGAGATTACATTGTTTTATTCATTTTGGAAAAAATGCAAATTAGTTACTGTTAAAAGGACTAGTTTTCAAGACGTTTGAAAGTGCACTGCAATGTTCTTGGTTAACTGAACTTGTTACTTCCTGTAGTAAAATACCATACAGACACAGTTGGCATTGTGTGGAGTTCTCAGTAGTGACTGATTAACACCTACTGCAGGGACATTTTTGATAAAGGAGTTGAGCTGTATTTGATACTTTGGGACTTACTTTGTGATAGGGAACTTAAACTATTGTTTTCTCCAAGTCTACAGGATAAGTCGACTACATTTTTTCAGGACAGAATCAATTAAACCTAGATCAGTTTGTTTTCTCAGAGATACACAGTACAGTGTTACCATTCTGAGAAAGTAGTTTTTAAGGCTGTGTAATTGTGGTTGCACTTTAAAGTGTGTGTCTTTATTTTGAGGAACTTTCTTCTGTCACTTCATTGAGCTCATTATGACCGCAGTTTTGTAATATGGAGAAGTTCTTTGATATATACTTAGGTGTATGTAGTTTTTTATTGATGCATTCATTTGTTGAATTGTACAATTTATTACTAAGCCCCCATTATTCTTAGGGACTAGATTTTTTAAATGTGTTTGTGGAGTTCTTGTAATGTTTAACATAAACTTTGCTTGCAACTGTTGTTTAAAGACTAAAGAAATAGTACCTTAATACACTAGTTCCTACCATCTTAAATATCTTATTTGTTTGCTACTTTAAGAAAAAAAGGCACCTTGAACTGAAGAATAGGAATTATCCAGATCAAGAAAACTATTTGAAGTAAATTAAGATGCATTATTTTGTATTTTTTAAAAATTTATTTTTTATTTTTAAAAAAGATTTATTTTTTATTCTGAACTGAGATATAGGCCAGAGGTACAGGGGCGGTGAGAGGCTTCACCAGAGACAGAGTGGGGAGCAGAACAGGCAGACTGAGGAAGTACACTGCTGAGGGGAGCAGTAGGCACATCAGGAGAGGTCTGCCGCGTCATGTGGGTCACCTCCGGGGCCAGGGATCGAACTCATGCTGAGGTGGCTTTAGCTTCGTAGTGCTGCATTTACTTGCTGCGTCACCAGGGAGGGCCCTATTTTGTATTTTATTTGCATATTTATATAATGTTCTCCTTGTTCATGTATTTTATCTTTAAATGTAATCAAGATGTTATTTTCACATATAGCATGATACCATTAACCTGGATTTGCAGTCTTTCAGCTGCACGGCTTTTGGTTAATTATTTAATATTTAAATTGTCTTTGAACCTCATCACTTTGTAATATAGCTATTTTAATGTCTGCCCAAAAAAGCTATGATGTATAAATTACTGTAGCTTGGATTAGGCATTTAATGGTTTCCTCTCCCTTTGCTTATCTTTCATCATTAATAGGATAGGACAAGTCTTTGATAAATAGTCCCAGCTTTCTTATTTTGGCAATTTTCTCTTCATAAAATTAGTATTGAAGACTACTGACTGAGAAACACAATTAGCTGTGAAAATAGAGTGTTTGTAATATCATGGTAATTACAATAAGAACTTGCTTAGCTATTTTCACTTGACTATATATTGTAGATGGGCTGCTATAATTAACTTGGGAAATTAAGGCATAGGTAGGCCTTACAAGGGGGGTAGCCATGTACTAAATGGCTTGTGTTTATTAATTAGAGGAAGAAAAAAAGCTATTAGGTCTGTTGAGTTCCAGTTCTCCCTACACTGTTGAAATCATCATTGGGAAAGTACAGTAAGCAAAACAACACAGAAAGAAAAAACCATACTGTGTATTGCTGCAGCAAAGATTCCATAAAAATTGAGCACCTATTTTAGGTCCCAAAGTAGAAGTGGCATTGCTGTAGCAAGGACAGACATAAAATAATAGTAAATGTATAGTGTGTTATGTAATTAGATACTGACTTATATGGTAGACTGCATTGTGGTATTTCAAAGCATTTAATTTCTCCCTGCAAGTGTAGTTACCAAAGTTCTCCTACCATCAAGTCCCCTTGATACATCACCATAGTCTCTTGTGTTCTTACCCCTGCTTTGACCTTTGACCCCTCTCATTTTCCCTTCTCTTCCCTCCTGAATGCTACAGATCTATGGGCAGCCTGCAAGTTTTGTCCTTTTCCTGACCCTTTGTTTGATTTCTCTATAGTTTTAATGTATGTGAAACCATCCTATATTTATCTTTTCCTTCTGATTTATTCCGTTTAGCATAATCCCTCCGGCTCCATCCATGTTGCTGCAAATGGCATGAGTTTATCTTTTTTGATCACTGAGTAGTATTCCACTGGGTTTATTGATATACCTTATATTGTTTATTCATTCATCTGCTTTTGGGAATTTAGATTGTTTCCATACTTTGGATGTTGTAAATATAATGGCACAAAGATCTTGAAGAAGATTTTACTAATGTTGGGCCCTGAAAAATGGTTAGACTAACTCTATCCAGTAGAAATATGTGATTTGAAATTTTCTAATAGCCATGTTTTAAAAAATAAGAAATGGGTAAAACTAATTTTAATAATTTACTTCATTCCATATACCCAATAATATGTCTATAGGTAATGTAATTTTTTAAATATTTTTTATACCAAGTGTTTGAAATCTCGTGTATATTTTACAATTACACTACAGACTAGCCAAGTTTCAAGTGCTTAGTAGCCATATGGGACTGGTGGCTACATACTGGTAGAGCAGGCTTAGGCTTTGGGAGTGTGGGGGGGAAGCAATGTGACACAGGAAGGTGGAGAGCTGGTGGTGAAATACTCATGACAGTGATGTAGGAAGTTGGGGAACACCAGCCTGCTGCTACTTGCTGTCCAGTGTGGAAACTGTGGGGGTACTAATTGGTAACTGAGGGTAGGGTGCTAGAACCCTTGCCCCAAGGGTGACAAGTAAGATTAGTGACTAGAGTACTGCATTGCCAAAGATAGAGGAAGGACAATGAGTTGGGCTGGGGTGTCGTATAGGAGAAAAGTACCCAGCAGAAGCTGATGCATGTTGGGGGTCAGATCAGAAAGGATTTTGTTTGCTTAAGTTGGAAGTTCAGATTTTATCCAAAAAGGTGCGAGGGCCTGCTTTCTTGGGGAATTTTTAACAGGTCCAAATGATAAGATTTGAGAACTGGACCCTCTCTGGTGGTGCAGCGGGTTAAGGCACAGCACCATGAAGCTGTCTGCAGTCACTGCAGCTCGGGTTTGACCCCTGGCCAGGAGGTGACCCCCATGGTGTGGCAGACCTCTCCTGTCCACCCACTCTTCCCTCATCAGTGTATTTCATTCAGTCAGCCTATTCTGCTCCCCACTCTGTCTCTGGTGGATCCTCTAACCCCCTGCACCTCTGGCTTGTTCTCCAGTTCTTGTATGTATAAATGAACAAATCTTTAAAAAAAAGCTTTGAGAAATACTTCTCTGTGGGTAATGAGAAGACTGGTAGACTGGATGGAACAGATACATGATGAGGGCCTAAAATAAGACACTGGTCATCATTTGGGGGCAGAGGGATTTTAAAAGTTTTGTGTAGCAGTAACTAGTGATTCTCTGTGTGAAGTAATGTAGTGAAGTTTGCAGAAACTGGGGAAGGAGTAATTAAGGAGAAGTTTGGGGACAGATGTCACAGTTAAATCAAACTGGTTACAGTAGTGTTCAGACCAAATATTTGAAACTAGGGGAGAGAAAACAGTTTCTTACAAATGCTGTATATATTGATAGAGCAAAGTGGAACATTTTGGTATACTTTCTTTTGTGTACCTTTTACTTTAAGTAG